TTTAAAACACTCTATGCTGTCTCTCTCTCTTTTTCCTCCTGTGACACAGCCTTCAGGAGATCCTGAGAACATGTGCCCCTAAAACACTGTATGCTGTCTCTCTTGATTGAACTCAGGCTGATGCAATCAGGAGCATGTAACTGGCATCCAGTACCGCATGGTGTCTTTGTATCCTGTGTACTACCATGTCTACTAATGTATTTATTAAGTTTTCTTTTTTTTTGAGACAGAATTTCACTCTTATTGTCCAGGCTGGAGTGCAATGGTGCAATCTCAGCTCACTGCAACTTCTACCTCCCGGGTTCAAGTGATTCTCCTGCCTCAGTCTTCCAAGTAGCTGGGACTATAGATGTGCACCACCATGCCCAGCTAATTTTGTGTTTTTAGTAGAGATGGAGTTTCTCCCTGTTGGTCAGGCTGGTCTTGAACTCCTGACCTCAGGTGATCTGCCCACCTCGGCCTCCCAAAGTGCTGGGATTGCAGGCATAAGCCACCACGCCTGGCCGAGTTTATTATCATATAAGAGTTGTAGTGAAATTTGAGGAAATGGTTGGGGTTTTTGGATGGATTGAGAACACGTTACTATTTTTCATATTTAGGTTAATGGGATAAAAACTCCTTTAGTCTAAAAATTCACGATCCAGCAGAGTAGATCTGGATAATGAGGAAAGCTGTACTGTTTTCTTTTTGTAGTTTTTGTACTTCATGGAAGATTCTAGTGCATCCTCATTTTCCTTTGGTTTATCACTTCCCGCCCCCACAATAGTGTGTTGACAATGTAGGGAAGTTCTGTTTGGGGTTGTTATGGATTATTTTCATTGGTCTTAGTAATAACATGGATGAAATCTTAGAGATATAATGTTGTGGTGAAAACAAGGGAGTTCCAGAAGACTATATAGCTTAGCATAATCTTTATGAAGTTCAAAATAACCTATAAATTATCTTTGAATACATGCATTTTTAATAAATGTATCAAAGAAATTTATATATACAAAATTCAGGGTAGTTATTAATTCTAGAAGATAGACAGAAAGATGGGTAAGGGAGCTCATCAGACTTGGTACACAGCCAGGACACTGCAGTTTTCTGAAAGGAGCTATAGTCAAGGACTTGGCATCCCCACTGTAAGGCAGGTTCACTGTGCACTGGTTATCAGCTTGTCTGAGTCCACGGAGATCCAATGACACCCATACACACAGCAAGTCAAATAAAATAGGTTTATTACTAACAGGCAGCAAGGAACAGCAATCAAGGATTCATTGGGAGTTAGTCCTCCAAGGCTCAGGAAAGCCACCCAGGGTGGATGGAGTCTTCACTGCCTGTGCTCCACTTGTACCACAGCTGAAGGACCCCAGCAAGCAGCCCGCCCAGAGTTTTATGCCCTGGGTTTATGTGAGTCATTGAAGGACATTCTGCTTCTAGAAGGAACCGGAACAGAGCCGCACCCACCACCACAGGCCAGCTGTGCTCGGATGCACAGCTGCATTTCTAGCTCAGGTGCTTCCATTCAGAGACCTCTTTATTTGGGGTCTTGGCTAAGGCTGTCTGTTCCATCTGCTCTGTAGCCGTCAGTAAATAAGCCTGATCGTTCCTTTTCATCTAGGTCATTGTCCTAATTGGCCATCTCAACACCTGATTGCATGACACTGGGTGACAAGCTCTTACAGGTGCTCATTTTTTCTACTTATAACTTAAATATCTTATTCAATATATTTCACACATAATATTATACAATATCTTTATCTTTTGAGACAGGGTTTTGCTCTGTCACCCAGGTTGGAGTGCACTGGTGCTAACTGCAACTACTGAGTTCAAGTGATCCTCCCAACTCAGCCTCCCAGGCAGGTGGGATTACAGGTGCACACCACCACCTCTGGATAATTTTTTATTTTATTTATTTTTTGAGATGGAGTCTCACTTTGTCTCCCAGGCTGGAGTGCAATGGCACAATCAGCTCATTCCAACCTCTGCCCCACCCGCCGGGCTCAAGCAGTTCTCCTGCCTCAGCCTCCTGAGTAGCTGGGATTATAGGCGCCCACCACCACGCCTGGTGAATTTTTGTAATTTAAAAATTACAAAATTTTTCACCATCTTCAACTTCTGACCTCATGACCCACCTGCTTCGGCCTCTCAAAGTGCTAGGCTTACAGGTGTAAGCCACCACACCTGACTGAGGTTGAACTTTTGAATAGGCTAAGTACTCAACTAAGTAAAGTCCATTTAACCTGAGACCACTTTACCCTGGATGTGACTGAGTCCCCTCCTTTTCACCTCATGGGAATGAAGCTCCAAAGAAACATGGGCTCAAGTACAGATAAAAAAAAAAGAACGTTCCATTCTTTACCCTCTGAGTAATTAAGATCAATATTAATTATCTGTATAGATACAGTTTTACAATACACATAGAGGTAAATGCAGAGTAAGATCTCAAAGGATTCACAGCATGCTGACAAAAGCAGTTACCCTGAGAGAGGGGAATGAACGAAGAGCACTTCTGGTTCCAAGTCGAAAGTTGTCTGGTGTTTTTGTGAATATGGACACCTATTTTTTTTGTATATTTTAGAAAACTTACAAATAATATTGAACACCTACTAGCTACCGGCATAGGGAAACAGGGGAGTTTGTTCAAGGGAAACAAGCTCAGTAGGGAGAATCTTTCAGCTGTACACATTTCCTCATGGGCTGAAGGGCTCATAATTCTCGGCAAATGTTGTGGACCTTTGCATGTTGCCTCAGGTGATCAGATCGTGCAAAATTCTTGTTGCAAACTGGGCACAGGTAGGGCCGTTCTCCAGTGTGCCTTTTCTTGTGTCTGTTGAGCTCATCTGAGCGACTGAATTTCCACGTACATCCCTCCATGTCGCATACGAAGGGCTTCTCCCCTGGACCAGAGAGAGAGAGAGAGAGAGAGACCTGTCATGTATCAGGGTAAGGAAGGTCAGGGACATTGAAAGTGAACGAGAAAAAGGTTTTGAGCAAATTGAAGTGGGAGAAGGACAGTCAGAGGAGATGGGAGTCGGGGAGGTGAGTGAAGGAGGAGGGGAATGAGGGCTGCAAAAGCTGGAGATAAGAGGAAAACTGAAGGCGGGAAGAAGAGGAAAGAAAAGGAAGAAAAAACAAAACAAAACAGGAGGAGAGATAGTTATTGGCAGGCAAGTTAGTGAAGGGGATAAGGAGGATGAGGGAAATGGGGCCCAGGGACCCTGAGAGGAGGTCTATGAAGTGACGGTCCCAGTAGAAATAGTGTCAAGAACATCTATCTGCAAGGGGCCAAAGAAATCCCTCCACTGATTCCCATCAAACCAGCAGTCAACGCCACCAAAGGCTGCAACCAGCCTGGCTCTGGTCCAGGACTAGAGCCTGTCCCTAGGACTGCTTTATCCGCCCTTCTAAAGGTGCCAACCTTTTCTATTTATAGAATCTTCTTGAGTCCCTGGGGAAGTGGCAGCAATCTCAAATGCTCCCAGAGCTTTGCAAAGGCACAAATCTGTAGCCACTCGCCCCTCACCCCTGTTCCTGGGCCCTCACTCACCAGTGTGCTTGCGCATGTGGGTTCGGAGGTGGCAAGCCTTTGAATAAGAGTTCTTACAGTCCTCATGTGGGCATTTGAAGGGCTTCGAAATCTTAGGATTCTTCCAGAACTGGCTGCTCTGGGTCTTCTGCTTTTCTGAGAGTTGTCCTTGAATCAAATGGGAACTTGGAAAGCATAGGAATCCCGGGTATGACAATGAGGACTGATAGGATGTCATATATCCCCCATAAAGGCTGTGGTCACCAGTGAGGGTTGTCATATTTCCTGCCTGAAGGGTCAGCATATGGCCCCCAGAGAGGGTCGAGTTGTCACTATATATTGCCATGTGGCCTCCATAGAGGGCCTGGTTATCAATGGAGGTCATATTCTGTCCCCCGTAGAGGGCTTGGTTACCAGTGGAGGTCGTCAGCTGCCCCTCGTAGAGGGCTTGGTTACAAGTGGAGGTCGTCACCTGTCCCCCGTAGAGGGCCTGGTTACC